GAGGATCATGCGTGACTGCACAACCCGTTAGACGGGGGAATCGCTAACGATATGTTTCTCCAGGGACCTGAAACGATAAATGATTTGGTTTCGGCTCTTTTGCCATTTATAATCGGTTCCATGGCAGTGGTAGCCGACATGGGAGAGCTGTTTATGCAATTTCTAGTATTTCCTAAGAACAGGAGTGCGTTATGAGGTCTCGGATGGCCTGACAGTGAACTGCACCAACAGTGGAGTCGGCTACTGACGGTAGTTACACAGCTCATTTGTTTCGTGGTAAACACAGTTCAGAAAAATACGAGCAGGCACACCCAGATGCTTCTCAGTACAAGAGTTTCCTTTGTCACAGAGGAATATATATATATATATATATATGGCGTTTGGCGGACGAAGTATACGCTGCCGAAATAGCGTAAGTCAAACGTCACCCAACCCACGCAATCCCCAGAACGTCGGTCATACGCAAACTGTGTTTGATATCAATAGACGGGCTGAATTATAGGAGGTAGAATAGATCATTCCAGTAAATCCGAGAAAACTGATTCTTCCCGCCAAACACTATATAATTGAGATGATAATTCGCCATCATCACGTCACAAAAGGACACTGGGTCATCACACATTCTGGAGGTTATCCGTAGGCATATGTGGATCATGAACGTAAGGCGCAAAGGGGAGAGGGCAATCGGCCGCTGTATTGGGTGTCACCGCTTCGCAGGTGTACTATGTCAGGAAGTGGTGACCCCGTTGCCAGCGGAGAAAGTTCAAAGTGCATGGCGATGTTTCGTATCGCACGGAGTAGACTACTTTGCTCTTTTCTCAGTAAAATAAAGAAGGGGTCAAGAAAATCGTTATGAATACTGGCGCACTTGCTTGCACTCGAGAGCACTGCATTTGGAAGCCACACCTACTGAGTTATTATGGTTCTAATGCGATATTGTGGGCGCAGGGGAAGGTCAACAAATATACACAAATTTTGTGGGTGGTACCAGGGTGTTGCAAAACGAAATCAGTCACTGGAACCAGTAGAAGATATACAACTGTTTGGAGGGTCAAGGATTACAGTGACATTTTATACCTCTGGAGGCCAGCCATTTTGGGGAGTGGCTGGGGTGAGTAATGAGTTCACCGAGGAAAATAATGAGCAGTTTGCCAACAAATTAACACTATCGTATGAGATGTTGGCAAACTTCATCGTGAAGGTAGTACCCCCTGTTTGAATCTAACAGGCACATGGTGTCCTTAATGCCGAGGTTAGACGCAGAGTTTTAGGTAGCCGCCGTCGCCTATTGGGACAAGCGATCCACCTACAGAGAATACAGTGGTTGAGACATGTATTACGCATGTCATCAAATAGGTTGCCACGGAGAGCGATGTGTGCCAAGGCAGGCAGCGCATGGAAACAGATCAAGGGTGATCAAACTAAAACCTGGCATGAGGGTATGAAAACCCTAACCAGGAGACTGGGTCACAAAAATACCATCAGGATTCCTGGATGTGGATCCTGAGATAATCGTAATCAGGGGTTAGAAACACCGAGTGATATGACTTGGTGTCGAAAAAAAACACTGGCGCTTGTTCATCTACTCATTATCTTTGCAACTTTATTCAATGTTAATTCTCTATTTTATTCGACTATGCTCTCAACACACCAATCTTTATTCCGACCCTTTATCCAAATGAGCAGCGAAAAGACAGCAAACGAAACCGGCGGTTTTTGGTTGTAAAAAACTGAACGAAACGTGCTGTCCGTTAGAGGGACTATCCTTGATTCCTTCGCTTTCATGGCCATTCTACATTCACGAGCTTGTTTCTTCTGCTGCGTTCGTGCATCTTCTCAGTTTCTTGGCAACATTATTCTACTGAGATCTTCCACTTTCTACTCGATTCTACTTTCAACTTTTCTATCTTTCTCCTACTTTTTATTCAAATAGACGGCCAAAAGACAGCAACCAAAACCGGTGCACGAAAGTGCATGGTTAATGGTTGTACAAACTGAACTTAAAACTATGGAACACCCTCGTTTCCGTCTTCCCTCCAACTTACGAAACTCTTTCCGTTAGAGGCAGAATCCACACACTAAACCCAGCTACCCTTTACAGTCTTATAAACCATTTTTCCTTAGATTAAGAAAACTACTCCGTTGCCTGTTAAAAAAGTCAACGAACGAGCACCTTTCTAAAACATCAAACAAGACAGTAAACAGCTTGGTGTCCCCGACCTAGTAAAGACTGGTTTGTGCATTTTGAAAATACAGCCGGACTTTATTCATAATTCAACCAACGAGAATTATATGCAGAATGCCATCGACGTAAGACGCTTTAGATATAGTTTGGAATCACGGCTAACATTGCATTTATGACTTTACGAACAAATGCACGCTGGTGACGTAGCACTCGCGTTTTTCAACGGTCCTCATAAATAGATCGAACTGAGGCTCGTTACCCAAAACGAGGGGATGATAGTCAGACTTTATATAAAAACCATTTCTTAACTTCCGAATCCCTGTTACAGCTATGCCATTTATTGCTTCGCATAGAATAAACAGAGTTCAAAATATGCGAGTGAAACGAACTTTCAATGTAGCAGTGCAGAAAGCGGCACAATAGTTTGACATCTTGTAAACAGGTCATTGAGCGAACCGACGGTCTAAGCCCTGGGACTTGGAGTGACGAATCAGATTAGATTCCGAAAGGATACGAGCGGGCAACAGTGAGCTGAAGATAAGAATGAGCGGGATGACCGCGCAGGCACAAGACACCAAAGCTTGATGACAGGAGTCTAAGTGCAAGNGCAAGAGGACAAAAGCTACCCCAAACCCTGCGCTTAAAAATGGGAAACGCCAGTTAGGCCTATCGTCAAGAACCGGTAGACTTACGGATTTGAAAGTGATAAGAAACTTAAGGTGATCAATGTAACAAGCTGACAATCTTGTTGGATGCATCGCTTACTTGATTTAAACGAGAGAGAGAGAGGTGGAAGCGACAGTGATGCATTGGTATCTGATTATAGCAGGTGAAAGATTAGGGAGACTCATAAACTAAAGAGAGATCACCCCTACTTGTGGGTTTTAAATTGATTAATTCGAATAAGTATTCGCCAAACACATTTTTCCACAGTTTCAGTGTTTTAAACAGCTTCTACGTTTTCAAAATGTACTATCTGCTGGGGAGGTCAGAGGGATCTGATTTCGGTCAGCCTGCATCAAATGAGACTCTTGTCTGTAAACGGGCATCAGCAATTAGTGAAATTTGCAGCTGACCAGGAAATAACTAAATTACGTCGAATATGAAGAGGAAACATGTTCTGTGAGGAAAAAAATATGGCGAAGATCGGACAACATGAACTCACGTCCTTCCAGATCACGAAACACATAGTAGCACTGTTCGGAAAAAGTGGTCTTGTTAACTGTGTGTCGAATGTAGCCGGCTTTGAGCAGATTGGCTGCGTACTTTCGAGCACTTCGACGATCTGGGAAACCATCCAAATGCCGATACAACCAATCGACTAAATCAGAACCTGGTTTAGAAACAATGCGTAGAGGTGAAGTACAGAAAGAAGACAGTTAGGCTAGGGTGCATAGTAAATCCAATTAAATAGCATGTCTAACAAATGCATATACAGAGTGCATTACCTTGGTAAGTAAGGTTGAGTAGCTTGGTGTGCAACTGATCGACGGGTTAAGCAACTACAATAGGTATGCACGCCAATGAGACGCAAGGGTGAATCAACATGTATCAAACGGATCAAATCAAACTACCTAACAAGAGGACTGAAAAGTCAGATAAATCGAGGTCAAACAACCAAACACACTATATTCACAGATCAAGTTGCAGTAACAAGCATTTCTTTAAATGTTTCCCACAGTCCTGTAACCTTGGTGTGCTTTGGATTCGGCGGTGCGCTTTTACCATCGGTTATTATTTCGTAAAGTTACAGCTGAGAAACACCCGGTCATCGTTTTTCCAATCAACTCGTTGAATTGTCAAGGTCAAATGGTATCCTACATTACCACGGTTTGAAATCATAGCAATTTATCGCGCAGAATCGTCAAGTTCTGACTTTTGCCCATTTTGTGAAAAATCGCTTCCAACGATTGCAGAAAGTGTTCAAGGACACCGTAATAAGCACTGTGCTGACTGGTACATCGCGCTTAGACAACATTCCTTCGATAATTTAACCGTCCTGTCAATTATCCCAAGTAAGAATCGTTCACTCATGGGAAAATTCGATGATGTCTAGAGCATGGTACACCAGAAGGAATGTGGGAATGCCGGGGTAAATCGACTCCAGGAAAGCTGTTCACATCTCGACATTAGGACAAGGTCGTGCATCCTGATGGACTTCATATCTTCCGAGGCGATCGAAATGTGAACATCCTTCCAAGACCGTTTTGGATGATTTCATTGGGTGCAAGCATTTTGATTCACGTGATAGATTTATTAATCATATGCTGTCTGTATGCTCATCTCAATAAATGTGTGTGTCACATCCGAGTACGCGTCCCAAATTCAGGAATCTCCGTGCAGGTACATGCTGAAACAGCATCATCCTTTATTTTACTCGTATCTCAGTAAACAGAGCATTACCGAAGTGGGAAATCACCTGTCACATTAGCTGTTTATCACATCTGTTTGTTCATGATTCAGTAAAAGTTTTTTAATGCTGAACATTTTCTTCACTGGAACTAGTCAAAACTGCACCCTATAGGGTGCCTAAAGCTTAACTAGATTTGACCTATTGCCCTTNATCGGAAAAAAGATCAGGTAGGAATGACGCCTCTCATGACATATGGTATGCACATGAAATAGGGAACCAAGGCAGATACAAAGTGCAGGTCCGAAGCTTATCGATATAACACTTTTCCATCCCAGATGGAAATTAAGTCGCCAGAATCATGTTGCTATCACAAACGCCTCGATAACGAATCAGGGTCGCAGAAATCCGAAGGATGGAACAAAACTTTCAGCCTGGTCTTGTATTCAAGACAATATGCCCAACCCGAAACACCTAGTAAGATCAGAGGTAGGTGTCTTGGACTGTGACCGACCACCCTCGCCGAGCACCACACGAAACGCATTATATATATATATATATATATAAATTCACGGGATTGAACATTGCCCCACATCAGAGACAACATATCTGATATAATACCCACTCATATCTCTGCTTCTATTAGCCATATGCTATTAAAATGTACGATTTCGCGATTTTCACGATGGTCGCTTGTGCATCAGTTGTAAAATAACAAAGTCACAGTAGAAAATGTAACTAGAATTTATTTATTAAAATGACTCATAGACAACATACAGGTATTGTACTTTTATCTCGTTCATGTTCCATTTGCCCTTCTTCAGTTTCGAGCACCGGATGCAGTCACTTTAGCATGGAGTCCGACAAGTTCACTGCTAAACAGAATATGCCAGTTTGCTCCAATACACCACACACCCTAACCACTGACGACCACTGTGGAGGCAGCTGACTTATCCCTGCTTCTGATACAGGGAAAAGTTTTCCAATAAATTAAGATCCCAGCTGCTGCGCGGTAATTAAATGAATTTGACATTGAACTTGACCCCCCTAGAGACTACCGAGATGTAAAAAAGTTTTATTAGGTCTAACCGTATTTTACTACCAACCTTGAGCGAGAAGATATATTGACCTTCATCTATGAAAAATATGACTTCCGCGAATGCGTTTAAAGAGTAGCAGTTGCCGAAAATCTTCCTCATCAAGGCAAAACATTTTGCAATATCCAGATTGGTATTTACTTTGCTCGGTATTTACTTTCGTTCTAACTCTTCAAGCGGGATGAATACTTTTTTTCATTTGGCAAGTAAAACGAAACTCATTAGAAACTAGCTTAGCGGATCAGCTTTCACCGCATGCTAAATTACTCGTTCGTCATCAGTGAGACATCTATTGTCAAATGGACGGGCGACTAGAATTGAATTTGTTGGTAAAACTAATGCGTGCTCTGCTCTGTTAGGCGTTCCATAACGGCTTCATTTCACGTGGCCTCAACTGCATTTCAAATTGGGCCAGCATTTTCCGAACGAAGGCGTGAGTCAAAAACGGCTCACCAGCCCGAGCTATCCTCCAGATTGGTTTTGTGCAACTGTTCCCTGTTGCGATCAAATACAACCATCGTCTTACATTGATATGATCGGTTTTCTCCCTCTCGGTTTATGTTTTCATGGAGAAATTTCGTTGAATATGCAACAAATTGGACCTATGTTCACATCGAAGCACTTCCACATAAAACCAACTGAGTCATCGGATTTATGCGCCTCCCGATTAAGTTGCCTCTCGGCTTAAATTATATGCCAAAACCTTTTGAATGTTTCATCCGGTTTGGGTCTGGTGATACAGCAAAACGCTTATTCAACGAGCCGCACACCTCAAGGTCAACTTTCGAGGATCAACTCTTATGTTTCTTGGATTATGTTTTCAGTTCTTTCAGCGTCGTGGATAATGTGTGAGTAGTTTATAGCCAAACAATCTATCAATTTAATTAAGGTAGAATATTGTCAATAAATTACTTATTTACTGTGCACTGAATGAAAAGAGATAGGCAATTTACAATACGTGTGCTCAACTTATTAAACAATCTCATGGAACAGGAATCATTATTCAAAAGAATGAATTCCCATGCTGCTTTGGGTAAAATATTTTTTAACTCTGAGATGTAACTTCCGAACTACTACAGATTTTATCGCAACACTCAAGGTCACGCAAATTCAAACTGTTATAAGAGAAATAAGAACATAGATGTGGAAGATACGATCAGAAATATATACACTATGACGATTGTGAAAAGCTCAGGAGCCTCGAACTCACGCATGGACACCGACTACGCTTGTACGCACAAGCTCTACCAGCTGAGCTAGGAGGCCACACCGATAGCACTGACCTTTTCACATTTGAATTACCCATCCAACTTGCATATGGCATGGCATCTATAATCGCCATAGAAACTTCAAATCTGCTAAACATCTTTTTGTACAATTAACCTTGTCTTAGATTTTCATTCGGTGGACTCCTGTGAATTCTAAGGAAAACCTGTCGGGGCAGTCAGCTTACATGCTAATTAGTGGATGCCACATGCCATATGACCCTTAGCCATCAATATACAAGTATGATATTGGAGACTGTATTTCCAAAATGAGAATGATGCTGCACTAGTTTGATCAAAACCTATATATATATATATATATATATATATATATATATATATATATATATATATATATATATAT